TCGCCCTGACCTGGGCAGGGGCTGGGCTGGGCCGGGGGCACCAGCCTGACAGAAACAAACCCCAGTGGGGGGAGCAAAGGCAGGGCTGCAGAACCTGGGCACCAGCTGCTTTGGGCTGCAGGTGAGGAGAGGCTTGGGCTGCCTTGGCTTGGGACCCTTTGTCTTTGGGGAAGTGCAGCAGGGCAGGGAGAAGGCATGGGTTTGCCTGAGCTGGAGGAGAGGGAGTTTTCTTTTGCATGGAGGGGTTGGGCCTTCCTCAGAACCCTGACAGAATGTTAACATTTGACCTTTCTTTCTCGTTTCCACTCTTTGTTTGTCATCTCTTTTCGTGAATTTGTTGTTTGTTTCCAAAGGAAGAGTTGGATTGGAGCTGGTGCTCGGTCTGGGTTGGGTAGGGCTGGGACCAGCCCTGGAGTGGATCTGACGTCCCCTCTGAGAAGGCTGAGGACATCACTCTGGACACACTCTTCTTGCAGCAGCAGATCCTGTGAGGTAGATACTCATCTTCCCCATCTTCTCGGCAGGAGTGGGATAATGGCTTTTGGGAGAGGGCAGCGGGCACATGAACACCCCGCCCTTGCAGCTGCTGAGGAGGTTGATCTCCTGGGGTTAGCTGGAGAAGGTGGAACATGTGTTGAATAATTTCTGAAATCAAATATATCTGGAATGACCCCAAATGACAGTTTAGTTTCCAGCTTGCTCTATGTGGGAGATGGACAGGAAGAGGAAGAACATTACAGAAGATTTGTGGAGACCTTAAAGGAGTCAACTGAGAACGAAGATGTTGTTCAAATCTACTAAGGACATTTAAAAACTAAAGACCTTGTTAATTCAATTCTAGTATTGTTAATGTAAAGTTCTTATACTGTACTAATCCTTATAGGAATCCCTAAGTAAGTTGTTAGTCTCTTTCTCCCTGTTCACCCATTGGCTAAAAAATGCTGTAATGTAATTGTCCCTTTTATGGTTCAAGACCTTTCCCTCTTTGCCCATATGTGATTGTAACCCCTCCCCTGATTGCCTGGTTTGGGCAAGCCCCACCTTCCCTTTCCATATTTGTTATACCCACAGCCATCCTTCTGGAAGATTCCCTGCTGCCCCTCCATGAGGGGGAAGCCATTTCAATAAAGTGTTCATTGTGGTTCAACCCACGGTCCTGTCTCGAACGTCCCTGAGTGAATGTCCCCGTCTCCCCAAAGGAACTGTAATAGGCTTAGACAAAGTTTCTTGGAGAAGCCTCTCATTGAGCTACGAGGAGCAGAAAGGACTTCCTTGCTTTCTAAATTCCTTCTCAGAGAGGAGCCTGGCTGTGGCTGGATCAAACCTCAGGCTCAGATTGTGGTTTAA